TTGGTCTTTTTTCTCCCCCTTTTTTTGTTTTTTTTCCTTTTTCAAGTTCCCTCTCACTCTCGCAAACATCTTTCAAGGCGAGAGGGACGCGGCAGCAACGAAGTTTGGAAGCTCATGTCAGTATAACTCATCCCCTGATGAAGGGAGGACCCCTCCCGAAACTGTTGGGAAATATATTTATCCTTGTTGACAACGCTCCCGTTGTGCCATTTCCCATACCTTCACGATATATATATATATATATATATATATATATATATATATATATATATATATATATATATATATATATATATATATATATATATATATATATATAAATGTTTTGACACAATATTAATGAGATCTAACAGACAGTAATGCCAAGGAATGTAAGGGGAAGTTATGTAAGGAGAACAAGTTATTGGTTCTAATAACTTCCCCTTACATTCCTTGGCGTTACTGTCTGTTAGATCTCATTAATATTGTGTCAAAACACGGAAAAACGAGCCCTTAAGTATACACTTCTTTCTTATATATATGTGTGTATATATATATATATATATATATATATATATATATATATATATATATATATATATATATATATATATATATATAAGGGAAAGAAGTGTATACCTAAGGGCTCGTTTTTCCGTGTCTTAGCACAATATTAAGAGATATAACAGACAGTAATGCCAAGGAATGTACAGGGGAAGTTATTATAACCAATGGAATGTAAATAAGAAGAAAGAAAAGTGGATGAAAAAATTACCAACTGTGAGCAGGAATCGAACCTACGACCTTCGAATTACGCGTTCGATGCTCTATCCACTGAGCTATCACAGCGGCCCTCCCTCCATCCACTTTTTTGGGTTTTATCTGTGAATTTAAAAGTAGGAGCGACAGTCAGCGCCATCTATAAGCCAAACAACGAGTGTGAAAACACTCTTATGCGCATGTTTGGCGTCACGTAGCACGTGAACTTATTATGAGCGGGCAGCTGATTAATTGTCCCTCTTATACAACCTAAACACACCAAGTCTGCCAGTACGAGACCCTCGTTCAATGAAATAAGGGAAAGAAGTGTATACCTAAGGGCTCGTTTTTCCGTGTCTTAGCACAATATTAAGAGATATAACAGACAGTAATGCCAAGGAATGTACAGGGGAAGTTATTATAACCAATGGAATGTAAATAAGAAGAAAGAAAAGTGGATGAAAAAATTACCAACTGTGAGCAGGAATCGAACCTACGACCTTCGAATTACGCGTTCGATGCTCTATCCACTGAGCTATCACAGCCTTATATATATATATATATATATAAGGAAAGAAGTGTATACCTAAGGGCTCGTTTTTCCGTGTTTTTACACAATATTAATGAGCTCTAACCGACAATAATGCCAAGGAAAGTGTAAAGGAAGATATTAGACTGAATTGTAATGTAAATATGAAGAAAAGTGGGTGAAAAGATAACTTGCCGTGGGCAGGATCCGAATATATATATATATTCGCGTTGTCGACAAGGATAAATATATTTTTCCCAACAGTTTTGGGCGGGGTCCTCCCTTCGTCAGGGGATGAGTTATACTAACATAGGCATTCAAACCTCGTTGCTGCCGCGTCCCTCTCGCCTTGAAAGATGTTTGCAAAGTTGAGAAAGAACTAAAAAAAAAAAAACACTGCGAGCGCTGAGCACGAAACCAGCCTGTGCACATCCATATGGACACCGACATTTGGATACTACAAATACTAAATATGATACAACAAATGAGTTCATCTCTGCTTGCGACAAAGAAGCGGAGAAGGCAGTTTTCACTAAGTGAGACAATGGATATTTTTCACCAACTGGAAGGCAAAAAGCACGCTGTTGTGACCAAAGAACCGAATTGCACCACAGGAATGTGGATGAGCTGGAGGAGGCCTTCGCGCTGGAAAGTTTGTGCTGCTCGCGTCAAAAAAAAAAATCAGACTTCTTTAAAGTAAACGTGCATTTTTTGGTGGTTACTTGTGCATTTGTTTTTTTTTTTTCTCTCGTGACAAAGAAGTTCAAGGACCCACCATTGTAAAGGTAAGTCGTTTTGGAAAGTGACAAATAAGTATTTATGGTTAATTTTCGGGCTTTCACTATAACGACCTTTCAAGATAACAAACAAATTTCTGCGGTTCCCTGAAGTTTGTTATACCGAGATTTCACTGTACCAGGTATTTGAAGAACTTACCTCAAGTGTTACTCTGTTGCTGCCCAACCTGCCGCAATGGTCCAGTGGCTAAGGCACTTGGCTACTGACCCCCAGATCACGGGATCGAATTCCGGCTGTGGCGGCTGCATTTTCGGTGCTCTAGGCCCGTGGGCTCACATTTGGGTGAATGTTAAATAACCCCAGGTGGTCCAAGTTTCCGGAGCCTTTCACTACAATGTCTCTCTCTTATAATGATATGGTGGTTTTGGGGCGTAAACCCCACATATTACTATATTGTGTTGCTGCCCACCGTTACGTCAACATCCAGTCAATTTTAAATAATTTACTTTTGCTGATTAGTGCAAGTTACTTTAAAGGTTAACTTTCATCAATTGTCACAACTTTTGCTGATCACTAGTGGCATGGTCAGGACTGCATCAGTATACAGTAGACTCTCAGTAAACTGAAATCTGTTAAATAGAACTACTGGTTCAACGGAACAAATGCCTCTCCTAAGTTTGGTTTTGGGCTTGTACTTTACACCCTTGTTCATCTCTCAATAAACGGAATTCCTGTTAAATGGAACATATTTTCTTGGTCCCTTCACGTTCCATTTACTGAGAGTCTAATGTATATGTATGTCAATCATTATTCGATCTCCTTGGCATAAGTTCTACTCAGTAGCCACATGATATTTTTTTTACCTTTCTAGATTGTCACTGTGGTTTTTCTTTAAGGCCATTTCCACAACAGACACACAAGATTTTCACTGCAATATGTAAGACGGGCAGATTAGTCCACTATGAGGTCCACACACTGTTTGCCATAGTGTTTTTTTTTTTTTTCCCTCTCCTCCACTTATCATACATACTCACTTATAGAGCGTTTCGCAGCTTTCTTTTCTCGCAATCATTTAGCCGTAACTGTTGTATCTGCTGTGATCTTGAGGGGCTCCCAGAAGTGTGTGCCACGACACTACAACGCACTTTGCAAACTCCGTGGCAGCCTTGCACGATGACCGGGACGGCGATGTTGACATTGCAGCAAGTAACCAACATTGCAGCAAGCTACTACCAAAACATCAAAACAAACTGTCAATAATAAGATTAACGACAAAATACGGCCTCTGCTTCGCTGTCAGCGTGAGAAGTGGTCGTAGAAAAAGCAGCCCATATCTTGGGGCCCTTGAAGTTTGCACTGATAATAAGCATGCAGAGCTAATTGCCACTAAAGCGAAGATCAGGGGTGCTGCCACGTTACGAAAATTGTCACACTTATTTTTAGGCAACAAGCGATTTTTTTTTTTTGGTTTTCCCAAAACCTTCAACATGCCTATGATGCACCAGTGATGGGTGGCTTTTCGCGACAGCCATGGTGACGGCAAATCCTGTCGCTGTCAATCGAAAATGGCATGCATGTGGTTGGGCCTTAATGTCTCGTATTCGCAAGAGGCAGCCGTTAGTTGGGGCGGGCAGTTTTGTGACCTTCGCACGCTGTCTGCTTATCAGCTGCGGTGTCTACACTCGCACAATTCATGAACCCTGCTGTGGCGCTGTCATGAATAAGAGAGCCCAAGGCGCGGGCTTGGTGCTGGAACGAGGCGTCTGTACACGAGACCTCAATGATGCGCGGATGTGCCACGTTCGCGTGCAAATTGAAGAAAGGCTTGTGGCACGCGACCTGAGCTGTGATGAAAAATCGTGGAAGATGAGCTGGCACTGTGCTGTGGGGCTCCGAGCTGCGAAGATGTGGGAAACCAGCTGCATAGCCACCTAGTTCTGAAGGATGTCGGCATGAGAGGCCCGGGAAGTGGCCATCGACCTCTGAAATCTCGAGTGCGACTGCCCGGACTTGCTGCACCCCATGCCCAGCAGTTTCTGGTAAACTTCCAGCTATCCCACTTTTTGCCAGGACTGTAGCATCCCTACTAGTCAGCAGAGTGAACCCGTTAGCGAGAAAGTTCATGGCAAAATAAGCCTAGCGCAGCAAAGCTGAAGATTATGACGAAGACTATGACACCGGCGTTTAGGACGAGCCGTTCGTTCAGCGGGACCAACTGATGGCGACCGTAGGGAATGGAGCAGAACGTCAGCGACGTAGTCTATAAAATGTTGACACGACAATGGGGAGGAACCAACGTGAACATCGAGAACATTCGATTGTTGTGACGCCGTATTGAATTAGGAGTAGCGGCTAGAGCTTGGAATCGATTTAGGCTGGTTTGCAGTAGGTTTTGTTTGTGCCGTATTGAGGTAATTTCGCGTGTACGCGACTTTTGTCCTTGCTTTTATTTTCGCTTTTTATATTTTGGGAGCTAAAGTGTTTGTTTGCCATGCCCATCTCCCATTTCTCTCAATTCCATCAACTTCAAGTGCTCCCACGATTAATCATGACAGGTGCATAGATGATTAAAAAATACAGGGAACGTGTTGCACACATACAGAAAGGAAAACGAAATGGTGCATGGTGGTAAAAATCGAAAATATCCAATGGGCAAGAAGGTGCCAGGTGTCGGTTTGTGAAACTGCAGCGGATGTAGAGGGTGCATTTATTACACGGGCGAGAAAAAAAAAATTTTCATGACTGCAGTTGTGGGTGCATTTGTGCAAATACATTCATTATGCGAGCAAATATGGTATTTGTTTCCTTCTGATGATGCATGTTTTTGCACAGTTGTTGGGTTCCAGGTTCGGTCACCTTGGCATGGGCAGATTCACCTTGCGTGGCCCTGTACTTAGTTTCAGCATGAATAAATTATTGTACTAGTCTGTCATCCTGTTGCATACTATAGCGATTGAAGACTCACAGCTCTTCTTTTTTTCCTCTTCTTTTGCAGTGGGCTATGCTGACCTGATGAACATAGAGGTAGATGCTGAATCCATCAAATTTGTAAGCGCTTTTCCTGCTTTGCTGTCTCATGCTTACTTGGCAATGTGGTTCTGTGTGCTGTAGCTGGTGCTGAAAAGTACCCCTGGTTGGCACCCTTGTTTGCAGATGGTTAACTGTTAACGTAAGTTACAAAAACACAGTATCACTGTGATAAACTGCCTTAATTGAAAAAGATTGGCACAAGTGACCGGTCGTTGGAATGGCAAGGTTGCGATTCGCGGTGCTGTTTTTCCCAAGCACGCCGATATCAAGAGTGCCTAGCTTGTTTCATTTTCGCAAAACAAGGGTGGCCAGGAAAAAGCACTCCAACAAATCGACTTTTTTTGGGCAACTGCTATGCTCACAAATTCTCCAACAAAAAAAAAAATGTTAAGGTCATGTATAATCACATCTGTCGATAAGCAAGGAACAAGCGTAATATTTCAACAGCAGGATGAGGTGCTTCCCGGAACCAGTGTGCTGGCCACCCCTGCTTTGGAAAATGTAATATGCTTGGCAATCTTGGTATTGACGTGCTCGTGAGCACCCTCTGTTGCGAGCCACTTATGCTAATCTTTTGCCATTGCGGCTGCCTGCCTTCATTTGGTACACAGCGGTGCAGAGAATGTAACTGCGATATGAGACTGCTTCTATTTTGAAAATATTTTTTACACTGGAGGAGATGCAACAAATGTGAGAATAATAAGGTATCAAAGATAACTTTTACGCTTTGGTTTAACGGGAGACACACTTGTTACCAAGCATATCGAGGAAGTGATAGTTACTATCTTGGAAAGTGGTTTATTACCATGCCAGAGCACTCCCGAGGCTGTCTTCCGATACTCAGCATAGATAGCCAATTAGACACTAAGCAGACAGCGGCCATCATTAGTCGTATTGCAGTTTTCATGTAGCCAACAAGATAGACAACAAGATTATAAATTTATTTGTGCGAAACAGCATGAAAAAAAAATGCGAGGGAATGTAAACAAACCAGGGCTTGGTTCCTTCTGTTTCTTTAGGACCCGTCTGTTTCTTTCCATGCTTTCATTTTTTTTCGTGCTGTTTTGCACTGATGAAGTCTTACCGACAAGCTCGGACCCATACCCCTTTTAAGACTTTATGAAGACACTTTGAAAAACGGGCTACTTAACTGTCCAAACAAAATGGAGGCTGAGCAAAATGTTTGGACATCACTAGTATGATTGATTAGCCAAAGGTGGGCTGTATTTTTATACACTTAATGGGTTATGGTAGGGTAGACAGGTCGTGGTTTATATCTTAGGAACTGCACCATATTTTGTTGTGTAATTTCGTGTGCTTAGTAAGAGAGCTTGTGGCCTTCGATCTGCGCAATTTTGACCCTGTAGCTTTTCTTGCTCATGCTCAAGTACTGCACTTGTGACTGGGGCACTAAATTAAATGTACCTGTTCTCACAAAACCAGAAACGGTATCACTATAAAATTTGGCACGTCCATATATTGTTATATTGGTATTAATCTAAACTGTATGAATTTTAAATAAAGTCATGTTTGACATGAAATTAACTCTATATAAAAAAATTCATAATAAATGTATACTATTTGTAACACTGTATCTATTACAGGACTGTTTTTATTTATTTCATCATATTCGATCATTCGTTATACTTGTGTTGGTTGCAATGAGGTTTGAATGTAGTCACATTCAGTGATGTGAAAGGCATTAGACCATCATCGACTCGCTTGCTGGAACCCTTGTAGGCGGCCGAAGCGAGCTTGGACAGGAGTCCCGACCATTCTTGCCACTGGTTGGCCAAATTGACCTCCTGTGTTGGGCAAGTTAGGTCAGCTTGGCCCCTCTCCATCTGTCACATGACGGGACGTGTCACGTTATGTCACACGCTTTTGCTGGGCCGCCATAGAAGTTCCTTGCTGAAGCTTCATTGCTCAGAGCTCGTGGAATGTGTGCATCCAAAGCATCAATTTTTTTCGCTTTCTTTGCTTGGACTGTGCAGTTTGACTGTTATTTCAAGTTGTACTTAGAAGAACAGAAATTACAGGAAACTCAAAAAGTGCACATGACAAAGACTCAAGACATACAACAGGACTGCCGCTTTACTTGCAACTGACGTTTATTTCAAGGAAACATCATGATTTAACTGCACATAAAACTTGTACATTGTACATATGCACACATCATCCCACCAGATACTGTTTGGGTCAGTTTTCGAACATGAAATTTGAAGACAAATCACACACCTCACCTTTGAAGACTGGCCCACACAATCTCTTGGGAAAAGATGTGTGCATATGTACAGGTTTGACCTGTGGTTATGGCGCGTTCATTTCAAATAAATGCCAGTTGCACCAGTTCTATTGTATGTGTTTAACTTCGTTTTTTGCACTTTTCAAGTTTTCTCTAATGATGAATGAACTTGCTCAAATCAAGGCATTGTTAAAGAAGAGAAAGTTGGGTGGGTTTTTACTGATCCAAGGATGTACTTGAAAGGTCACAAAATACAAAGGAAGACCTTAGTTTAAAAAGAACATTCATCCTTTCTAGTACTTGTGTATTTTGTGTGTATTTTGTGCGTTTTGAGCTTCCAAGTGCCTTCATAAAGTTGTACTTGCAGCCACTTTAGGCGTACAATTAACGCTCTCCAGGTTTTTTTTTTTTTTTTTTTTTTGCATAGTAGTGTCCCTGTAGAGCTCGACACCATCTTTATTAGGATTGTAAGACTGGGCAGCTTTGTGATTTAGTAGTTTGGAGATTTACTTTGGAGGCTGGAAATCGGCAAGGAATGTGCATGCCGCTATGCATGTGCACTGGCATGCCCCATGAGTGTGCACAGCTTTTAGGGTTGCTGCAATCACTCATCAGAAAGGGTCAACTTGGAAGTTTTAATTTGTGCTCAAACGCATCTCGAACTTTCACAGCTAGTTGGAGTTTCCAGGTGCTACCCAGCTAACAAGCAAATAATTGCCACACAAGAAGACCCAGAACAAGGTTGGCGACTTCCGCAAAGAGGGCTAAAAATCTGAAATTTAGTTGTTCTTTTATTCTTGAAAATATTTTAATTACCACAAAAAATGTCACTCAAGTTGAACAAGAGTATAAAAACTTGCTGTATCTTGTACAGCAAGCGTATGTGCCACAGTGAACACATTTACTTTTGACACCAGAGTAGTCTCTATTTGGTTAATGTAATCTGTGCGATTGGTGATGGTCACTTTTTGCTAACAAATGCACCACAAAAAGGGCGGCAAGCAACTGGAAAATTCTACAAGTGACTCGGGGGAAAAAAAGAAAAAATTCAGATTAAGTGGAAGTGCAAACTCTGTAGCTAGTTCCTATTCCGACCTCTATCTGCTACTTCCCATTCATTTGGCGGCAGTGCTGTGCTTGCTTGTCTGTGCACCAGCCTTTTCACAAAGTCTGAATGGTGGCCAGGAGTTCCGCACGCTCTGCCAGAAAACCTTCTCGCATGACAAAGGGAGGCCTCTCAACCAGGACAGTACTCTCATAGTTTTGTTTTTTGCAGATTATGACAATGCACAGGAGCCCATGTACAAGTATGAAGTGAGTATGTCGTCCTGCCTTTGAAATCTGTTGCGAAATTCCAGACTTCTCCCATTCCAGCAACATATTTTTTTAAATATTTTAATATTTAATATTTTGCTGGTTATAACTATAGTTTCACATAAATTCTCTAGAGGGAACTCTGGCACTAGTGCCTATGGGAACTGCAGTGCATGGCACTTCAGACCACAGGGGAATGGTGGGTAGTACACAAATAAATTTGTCTAATCTTCGTACTTTCGGCTCTGTTGGGCTTCGCTTGGCTTGTAGCTGCTTTGTCACGAACAGACAGTCAGCAAATGTTCAGCAATTGCTCTTCACCATCTTAACCTCTTGGGCTCACTGATGCAAATCGGGTTATGAAGGTCACAACTGTCCGTTCTTTTATTCGAAACAAAACAAAAAACACAGCAATAAACATCACAAATTGACTGGAATCTACAAACATAAACATAAGGCAAATCTGTGTACTACCCATCATTCCTGTGGTGGCTGAGTGATCGCAGCACCAGAGTTCTCTCTAGTAAATACTGTAGAAAACTATGGTTATAACATTCAGTTCGGCCCCCGCAGGGGCGCCTGCGCAAGTAGGCGTTTGGTGTGTAGCGACACCACGGACCCGAGCTAACGGGGGAGTTTTGACTCCCTCCCACGCCTAGCCGTGCGTGGCTTTGCCATGTCCGGGGAAAAGGGGATCCTGGGGGTTGAGCCGACACTGGGTGATTGGACCTTTAAGGCCCCCCCCCGGCAGAGGCAACACACCCCTTTGGCCCCAGCTTCATGTAGACGGCACCCCTGGGCTGACCCACCCAGGGGAAATCGGCAGTCGCCTCTTCCTATCTCTCTCTCCCTACATCTTCGTCTTTCTTACTTTTTTAGCTTTCCTGTCTACTTCTCTCTTCTGCTTACTTCCAATTTTCTCGGCGGCAAGGGTTAACCCTGTGTAAATAGCCTACCTTGGCCTAGGCGCATTGGGTTATAGCAGGGTTGTACGGCTGACGTCTGCAAGCTTTCAGCATCCGCAAACTTGCAGCGTCCCCTCGTTGGGCTCCGTGGTGGGTGGCCGCCAACGCTGCTGAACAACATACAATCAGCATGCAGAAAGCATTCCCTTTATTTAGTGATCGTGCCTCCTCAAAGCGGGTACGCACCGAAGACATCAATTTTTTCATCCGGCCAAGACAAATGTTTCCTCATTTCCACGTTATACACTGCGAAAAAACTAACAAGCAAGCCAGAACTGTATCCCCCTTCATAGTGGCTAGATGCTTAACCGAAACTCTCGGTGCTGGGTGCAAGGTTACCAAAATGGCCAGCGGAGATCTACTCCTTGAGTTACGTGACAAAGACCAATTCGATAAACTGAACACCCTCACAGCATTTGGAGACACACCCATCAGGTCCATGAACTCATCCCGCGGGGTCGTATCGGACGCAGATTTGCTTGACCTGACCGAAGCTGAACTTCTGGAAAGACGGAAGAGCCAGAACGTGACAAACGTACAGCGTATTAAGATAAGAAGAGATCAAAAAGAAATACCAACCAAACACTTAGTACTGACCTTTTCTTCGGGCGATTTGCCGGAAACCATTCAGACTGGGTATGCAAAGACATCCGTGAGGCCATATATTCCCAACCCCCGCCGTTGCTTCCCATGTCAGAGATATGGCCACGGCTCGCAAAGCTGTTGTGGCCGGAAAACTTGTGCTCTGTGTGGAGTCGTGGACCATGCCTCCGACAACTGCGAAGCACCTGCACACTGTGTGAACTGTGGTGGTAATAATGCCGCGTACTCGCATTCCTGTTCTTTCTGGAAAAAAGAAAAAGAGACCATCACTTTAAATATAAAAGAAAACATTACATTTAAAGAAGCAAGAAAAAGAGTCTCGCCATTTTATGGCCCCACATATGCTGATGCGGCGCGCCAGGGGCAGTGTCGCACCAGCCCTCGCCACTCCTTCGGCCTGCGCAGAGCAAGCCATTGGCTGTGGCGCCTGCCCCCAAGGCGGCAGTAGCTGAGTCTACTCCGCCTACTATAGAAGAGAGACCAGAGACGCCAGGGTCCTCGGGTCTCAAGGCCTCACCTCGCCAGGCGAGGCCCAAGCTTCGAAAAACCAGCTCGCATGTGCGGGCATCCAGTGCCTCCGAGGAGGCAATGGATACGGCGGCACCCCTTGTGCCAAAAGAACGGCGCGGCTCTCTGGAGCGCGCCAAGAGAACTAAAAAGCTCATAACAGGGCCTGATAATAGCCCTGTTATTTGAGCTCGACCTTTCAGCTTAAACAAGTCACTCCCTTAACGTACACACAGCACTACTTTACTTCCAATATGGAAACACAAATTGCACTACTTTACTTCCAATATGGAAACACAAATTATACATTGGAACGTCAGAGGACTGCTAAGAACCTCGACGACGTCCAAGAGCTTTTATACAAACAGACACCTCAAGTGCTGTGTGTACAGGAAACACACCTAAAATCCTCCAATACAAATTTTTTACGTGCTTACGTCATATACCGAAAGGACCGAGATGATGCTGTTGCGTCATCCGGTGGCGTAGCCATTATTATTAACCAAGGAGTAGCGTGTACACATTTACCACTCCAGACATCCCTTGAGGCGGTGGCTGTTCGAGCGGTAATTTTAAACAAACTCGTCACCATCTGCTCTTTGTATGTACCTCCCCACCACCGTCTTGAAAGACGTGAATTTCAGTCTTTAATAGACGAACTGCCTGAACCCTATTTGCTTCTTGGGGACCTAAATGCACATAGTGGACTGTGGGGCGATTCTCGCTGTGATGCACGAGGTCGTCTCATTGAACAATTTCTCTTCTCTTCCGGTCCCTGTTTGTTGAATAGGAAAGAGCCAACATACTATAACGTTGCCAACAAAACTTACTCGTCTATAGACCTCAGCATCGTATCACCTTCACTCCTACCGCTACTGAAATGGAAAATCATAAATAATCTATATGGAAGTGACCATTTTCCTGTAGTGTTGAGTTCACAAACAACATATGAATGTCCTCTACATGTTCCCAAATGGCTGATAAACAAGGCAGACTGGGAACAGTTCCACAACACTACACGTTTGAGTTGGACAGACATATTTAGGTTAAACATAGATGAAGCTGTGCAGTACTTCACAGCTTTTCTAACTGACGCAGCAGCCAGGTGCATACCGCAAACATCTGGAATGCCCGGCAAACAACACGTCCCATGGTGGAACACAGAGTGTCGTAATGCGCGAAAGGAACAGAACAGGGCATGGAGATTGCTTCGTAACTCACCAACAGCCGAAAATCTTGACACCTTCAAGAAAATAAAGTCTCAATGAAGGAGAACGCGTCGGCAGGCCAGAAGAGAAAGTTGGCACAAGTTTTTATCAGAGATAAATTCATATACACAAGAGGCCAAAGTCTTGAACATGGTTCGAAGGGTAGCAGGAAGAAAAGTGCACTCACTCCCACTCGTAAACACTCAAGGTGATACCTTGGAAGATCAGGCAAACTTCCTCGGGGCACATTTTGAACGGGTATCCAGCTCGTCCCACTATACTGACACTTTCCAAAAATACAGAACAAGAATAGAAAAGCAGAAACTCGAACACAAATCCACTAGATACGAGGCATATAACCAAGCTTTCAGTCTAGCGGAGCTCCGAACATCTCTAAACTCCTGCAGTACTTCTGCCCCAGGTTCTGACCGTGTGGTGTATGAAATGTTAAAACACCTACCAGCCGAAACACGAAAAACCTTACTTTGCTTGTACAATGCTATCTGGTTTTCTGGCACTATCCCTACCTCCTGGAAAGAGGCTATTATTATTCCCATTTTGAAAGAGAGCAAGGACCCTTCTTTAGCTTCAAGTTATAGGCCTATTGCACTTACAAGCTGCTTGTGCAAAGTATTCGAAAAAATGATAAACTGCCGACTTGTACATATCCTTGAAACAAACAATTTGCTCGACCCATTTCAGTGCGGGTTTCGAGAAAGTAGATCCACCACAGACCACCTTGTTCGTATCGAGGCACACATCAGAGACGCCTTCGTCCATAAACAATATTTTCTCTCTGTGTTCCTCGATATCGAAAAGGCGTATGATACAACATGGCGTTTCGGAATTTTAAGAGACCTGTCCCACCTTGGTGTGCACGGAAGAATGTTTCATATAATCGAAAGTTACCTGTCAAACCGGACATTCCGTGTCCGTCTGGGCAGTGTGCTCTCCCAAACATTTGTCCAGGAAACAGGCGTGCCACAAGGTGGTGTGCTTAGTTGCACACTTTTTATCATCAAAATGAATTCTTTGCACTTGTCCATTCCCCGCATGATGTTCTATTGTACATATGTCGACGACGTTCAGCTTGGCTTCAAGTCATGCAACTTAGCCATGTGTGAGCGGCAGGTTCAGATGGGTTTAAATAAGGTCTCCAAATGGGCAGACGAAAACGGATTTCGACTTAACCCACAAAAAAGCATGTGTGTCTTGTTCTCTCGAAAGAGAGGCATGCACTCGGAACCTGACATTCGACTGAACGGGCAACGTCTGTCCGTCAAAGCCGAGCATAAATTCTTAGGCTTAATCTTCGACAACAAGTTGACCTTCGTACCGTACATCAAGTATTTAAAAACAAAATGTTTAAAAGCCATGAATGTTATAAAAGTGTTGTCACGTACTACGTGGGGTAGTGATAGGCAATGCCTCATGAACCTCTATAGAAGCCTCATTCGCACCCGCTTAGATTATGGGGCCGTTGTCTATCAGTCTGCTACTCAAAGTGCCTTGAAGATGCTGGACCCCGTGCACCATTTGGGCATCCGCCTTTCTACGGGTGCTTTTCGCACCAGCCCCGTAGAAAGCCTTTATGTTGAGTCAAATGAGTGGTCGCTTCATCTGCAGAGAACTTACATGTCCTTTGTTTATTTCCTTAAGGTGAAAGCAGACAAGAAGCACCCCTCATACTCTACAATTAATGATTTGTCGAGCTCAACTCTGTTTCAAAACAGGCCTTCGATGAGGCAGCCCTTCTCAGTTCGCCTGAAGTGTCTAGCTGAAGAAACTGAAGTGTCACTTGAACACAGTTTAATGGCTCCTGTAGCATACCCACCACCGTGGCAGTGGCAGACTATAGACTGCGATGTGTCTTTCCTAGAAGTTACAAAACATGCACCTATTGCCCATATCCGAACATACTTTCTGGAACTTCAACACAAATACACACGTCCTGAGTTCTTCACAGATGCCTCCAAGACTAACTCCTCTGTGTCCTACGCTGCTGTCGGCCCATCCTTTTCGGATGCTGGCCCTCTACATCCACGCACAAGTATCTTCACAGCAGAAGCTTACGCGATACTTGTGGCAGCTAAACACATCGAACAATTACAAATACAAAAAGCAGTAATTTATACAGACTCCCTCAGTGTGGTAACGGCTCTGCACAGTCTTAAAAAACAAAAAAAACCCGGTCCTTGTCTCACTTTACTCCATTTTGTGCACACTCTACACACTCAAACAACATGTAGTGTGCTGGGTGCCAGGGCACCGTGAGATCCAAGGCAACGTGAGGGCGGATCAGCTCGCTGCATCTGTCCATGAGAGCACCGCCATTACATCCATATCAATCCCGGCCCTTGATCTTAGGCCGTCTCTCAAACGAAACCTCAGGGACTACTGGCAGAGCAAGTGGGATACACACACACAAAACAAACTACACGTTATGAAGCCACACCTTGGCCATTGGCCACCAGTATCAAATTCACGTCTAACAGAGGTAACACTAACAAGACTCAGGATAGGACACACATACACGATACACACACACCTTTTGTCTGGTGGTGATCCACCATTGTGTGATAAATGTGGTGAGGCATTAACAGTTCTTCACATTTTAATTCAATGTAAACAGTTAGACACTCTAAGAAGACAACACTTTCCATTATCCTACCGACAACATATACCTCTACACCCTGCAATGTTCGTTGGCAGGGAACCGCTTTGTAGTAATAAATCATTGTTAGCGTTTTTAAAAGAAATTCATAATTTTCATATCATATACCCGGGCATTCCATAGCACAACCTCTCCACAGAGGTTTTTGCTGCGGTGGCTACACTCACGGCCCTTGGACGCAAGGGTATGAACGTGTGAGGTACTTGTGCTAATGCCATACATGTCCACCATCGTTTTTCATTATCACCAACTTTTGTCACCTATTCACACCACACACACCTTTCACGGCATAGTCATGATTTTATTACTTGTATGTTTTTACCCGCCTTACTGCGAGGAATTTTATGGCCCTTATACAGCCGCTAATCACAATCATTGTCCACATTCCTTGTCCCATGAACTGGCGCTCTTTGGCCATCAAATGGCCCTTGCGCCAAAAAACACCATATATCATCAACATTCAGTTCGGCAACTGTTTTTGCAGCATAATGAGAATTTGATAATTGTACTAGCTGTTCCTTTGCTTTCTTACTCAAAAGGTTGCTGGAAGCCGTAGGTAAAATATATACTGTTCGCTTTGCAAGAATGCTTTCCTTTCTTTTTTTTTTTTTTCATTTCTTTGACAACGTCACCTTTTCAGCATGCCTATTCTCCAAAGTAATCATGATGTCAATGATGTAGTGGTTCTGTGCGCGGCCACAAGCTCACTGCTTAATTCTCCAAGAATAATTGTGAATCTCATCATGAAGAATAATATGTTGTAATACTGCACTAATATGTACCCTAAACCATTGAAATGTTTCTCCTATTCACGCCCCGCCGCGGTGGTCTAGTGGCTAAGGTACTCGGCTGCTGACCCGCAGGTCGCGGGTTCAAATCCCGGCTGCGGCGGCTGCATTTCCGATGGAGGCGGAAATGTTGAGGCCCGTGTGCTCAGATTTGGGTGCACGTTAAAGAACCCCAGGTGGTCAAAATTTCCGGAGCCCTCCACTACGGCGTCTCTCATAATCATATGGTGGTTTTGGGACGTTAAACCCCACAAATCAATCAAATCAATCAATCTCCTATTCACATTTTCTGCTTATATAATTTCATAATACAAGCAAGCAAAACCAAAATAATCCGAAAGCTGCTGTACTTGCAGAGAAAAACCAGTGTGCCTCTATAGTTTCGCCTAACTGTCAATACACTCAAACTGCACTATAACAGGGTCCTATCTTGCATGCAACATTTTTGTTATATATAAATATTTCTTATAAAGGTATATTCGTAACGCTGTCTATTACAAAACTATTTTTCAATTTACTTTTTTTATAACCGATGTTTTGTTAGATTTGGGTTTGTTATATTGAGGGTTGTGTGTACTAGTTGTCATCAAGTATAGCAAGAATAACAGAGCTGAGCTAACTGTTAAGTGTTATTTTAAGAGACAGAGCACGCAAACACGGTTGCAAGAGAAAAATTAAGACACCACAGACTTATTTCTTGTAGCCGTGTTTTCATGCCCCCTCTTCTAACTAAGCAAGAAATGCTCGGAACTGGTTCAAAATGACCCGCAGGTCGCGGGATCAAATCTCGGCTGGGTGGCTGCATTTTTGATAAAGGGAAAAATGCTTTAGTTCTGTGTGCTTATTCGGGTGCACGTTAAAGGACCCCGGGTGGTCCAAATTTTCGGAGCTCTTCTCTACGACGTGTCTCATAATCATATGGTGGTTTCGGGATGTTAAACTTCATTCATTTTGACCCAGTTGATTGATTGATATGTGAACAAGGTATAAAATAGTATAATTAACAGAACTAACCAAAAAATAGTCTCAATACTAGTTGATTAAAAATTGCTAAAACCCTGGGGCTGTGCAGAAGAGGGTGCCACCACCTTGCCCAGCAAGCAAATGCCCCTCTCTACGCTTTGCCAGCACTGCATGGCTACTTCTGATAGGAGAAACAACAAGACGAAACCCACTGCAGACGATTCATATCTCAACTGCCGTAACAGGCAGAAAGTCGCTAAAGCATAGAAGAAAGTAGCGCAGGTGTTGCACACCAAGCTTGCAAATCTTCCTAACAAGGTTCTACTCGTGCCGGTGTACCTGAAACATTTGGTAAAGAGAGCAGTGCTGAGCCTCTGCTGGGCTCGTCCTAAAGTTTCGCAGTTGTGTAGCTGTCATATGTTTTTATTGTGCATTGTATTGCATCACTAGTGGGTAATTGCAATGCATCGTTCAGTGTCAGCTGTCTTCACCTGTGTCGCACTACAAGCAGCTGTGTCTTCTGTTATTCAAGCCAGTCTGGACCCCTGCTCAGTAATATCGTTCTTATTTTTTTCTTTCTAGGAAGCAGCAAACAAGTGCTATGGAGTCTGAAGATGAAGAAGGTATGTTCACACATGAACTGAGAATCTGATTTTGCAGTCTGCTTTCTCTTCTCCCTCAGTGTAACAGAAAATCCCATGGAACAGCTGTTCTCTCTTTTTTTAACCTGCACTGAAAGTACTCTCACATTACAGCATGAACCTCAGGACAGTCAAAGAACACACAAGACAGGGCACTGACTAAGTGCCTGTGTTTTCTGTCCAGAAATAAGCAACTTTGATAGACAGGCATTTCGTCATGCTATGACATATCTGCCAACCATTTTTGTTGTTTCAGGCATTCCTAGTGACATTTCTAATTGAAGATTTCTTTAAGAAAACTCCTAGCCATGGCAAATCATTCAAAGTTTTTGTGCAGGCTACCTTTATTGTCTCCTGCTGAGACAACTCTGCTGCGTGACCACTTAGCACCTGGTGAAGGTTGCTCTCGTACCCCCTATGCAAACTCTTGCTCTGCGCCACACCTAATTGTGTATAGGAGGTTGTGGCTAATATCCACTGTCACCATTGTATGATAGCAATTCGTGCTATAATAGGTTGTTTCGGCTTTTGTTAGGGTTTTATGTTTTTGGCGTTAGCAAATTTTTATATAGCTTACCTTGTGAAAAAGAGGCACAAATTATCAGCCCAATGCCCCTGTAGTTCAACAACGAAATCTAAGCAATGTTTTCTCAATTGGAGATGACTATTCTCTTTATTGCATCATCATGACAAATTCTGCTGGTATTGGATGCACGACTATAGTCACCTTTGCAGTCAGGCAGGTGTAAGACGACTACTCATGTGTTCAAATCATTCTGCAAAGGCTAATCTCAGAATAAAAGTAAGTGTAGTGCAGTCTTGTAATAATATAAGGGCCCAGGGTGGAACTGTTTTTATCTGATTTAGTGTAGATTTACTGAGACGAGGGGTGCCGCACAATGAACCGAGTCAATTGTGAGGACAGCACATTTATGAAAGAAACACACAGCACCCAAATATATATACGAATACACAAAAACAACAACAGCAAACAAAGTGAACCTTGACACAAACTGAATTGGTCACTTCATGGCCTCAATAAAGTCTGCAAACCCTTGCCTTAGTTCAAGTGCTGCTTCGGGTCGACCTACTTGCTTCATTGCCCAAGTCCAACTTGACGTTGTTCCTGTTGAGCCATCAGTCGTGAATTCCAGATCCCCAACAATCTTGATGTCAACTCTGCAGCTCGGAGCATCGGTAGCCTGTGCAAGCAGGCCGTTGTCGCTGACACCCTTAACTTTATCAATAATAAAAAAAGAATAACTTTCGTTTCGAAATTGCCACTTTGACAGTCTTCGGTTCAATTGCTTTGTTGAATGCACACTCTGGTAGTAAAATTATACGTTACTACATTTCAGGACTTCCTTTACGATAGTCCTGTATTAACCACCCGAAATTAAGTTTTGTTTGGGAAAATGGTTTTTTCTGCTTGTTTTAATCTCTTTCATAATAATCCTAATGGGTCCTTAGGGTACTTGAATGGATGAACAAATCAATCATCTGAACTTTAGCCAAAGTAATAGAGGTATACACAGCACAAGGCATGTCTGGGAGTTCTCATGACAGGACGTTTGTGGTGACTTTATTTTTTGTCGAGTTACCATGTGTACTCAATTGTAACGCGTTGGGTCATTAAAAAGAAAAAAAATCTAAAATAAAAAAATACCAGGCCTGCGCAAAAGGCGCAGCACAATCACAGCGAAAGCTAGAAGAGTGGCCTTCCAGAGCCTTTTCTAAACACTCATTGGGTGACTGTTGCAAGCAAACTTGCTTGATACCCACTACAGCATTAATATTAAAAATTTGTGTGTAGTAGGCTGACGTTCGCTATGCTATTTATTGTCATTCTTCTGAGAAGCGTGGTATCTGCTAAACACTTTCAAGGAATTTTGTGCCATTGTTCATGCTCATGACAATGAGGATTTATGCCTGAACTGGGTATGCGCCACAGTTAATTGGGTATCAAGAACAACATTTTGTAATGGGTTGGAGCATTGGATGGTCCACTGGTTATGATATTCGCATTGTGTGACGCCTTTTTGCTCTTTTGCTGTTGTAAAACGTTTTACGACTCATATTAACGTGATTCTTTTCCCGACATCAAGCCTACCTAAAGCAAATTTGCCAACAAGTCCCAAGCACCAGCATGGCTGAGTGGTAGAATACTGGGTCGGCAGCTAGCGGTCCAGGGTTAGAGCCCCACTGTGTCATTGGTACTAGGTTTTTTTTCTAATTTCGTGCCATATGGTTACGGACGCTGAAGGCGGACAATTACTGCGCTGCGCGTGACCCAAGTTGCAATCTCGTTATAGCTTTCGCTATAAAATGAAAGCATTGTGTGCATCATTGTACTTTTTACACAACTTGAATTTAGGTGTTTAATTGTAACGTAAGTGTCCACTTCAGGTGGCAAAATCTGGGAAAAAGAACTGATGTTACATTCAAGTAAATATGCTAATTAGGTTACGGTGAGTGAGCTTTTGAGTGTTCATTTCACGGCTCTCGTTGCTTGAGTGTACACATTGTGCATATGGTCGCCATGTTACAATGTTCTCGAATTCACTGTTTGTTTGTTGCAGCCATCTATGAAGAAACCTTCTAGGCAATGGAGGCCACTTCACCTGCTGTCTTACAAAAGGATAAATAGTAGATGTGCCTTGTGTCAAAATATGAAGTGTTTTACCTACAATTTCATCCTGTCTTTTATTAACTGCTGACACAAAGGTCGAGAGTTTGATCAAGGTCGGGACTATTGCATTTCAGTGGAGGCGAAATGGTGAGGGCTTGTGTACGGTGAAGCATCAGTGCTTGTTAAAAGAACACCAGATGGCCAAAATTTGCGGAGCCTTTGCTACAGCGTCTCTCATAATCACATAGTGGTTATGGGATGTGAAACCGCACATGTCTTTATTATTGTCTTCCCTATGAGCCTATTGTTGAGTAAATTATGTACTTGGGGACAGAAGAGAGACTGTAGTGCATGAGCAATGGGAAGGACCTCGAGCAGCACATTTTGCGGGTGCAAGTAAGGCCTGCTGGTGTAGGTTTCGGGTGCTCTGTGTGCGCACGTGCCCAAATTTTGAAAAAGCTTTGGGGAATGTTTCTGCCCGTAGTTTCATTTCCGACACTGGACAAGTGCCAATCGCACTATTTACAAATATACCACCTACGCCGGGGTATGTGGCCGCATTGCAAAAAACAAAGAAAGGCTCTATATCCCTGTGTTTACAGTTCATAAAAGCCAACTTCACTCCGCTATTGCCTGATGCACATAGATTTGGCAACACTTAAAATCTGGATTGACAAAGCCTTTCCAAGGTAACGTCCATGTGCAGTGTCAATACACACTGATCTCTAGGGTTTATAGTATAACCCTAAGTCCGAGCTTGTAATCTCATTCTGTTTATTCCTGAGGTGCAACTTGGACAACTACATGTTATGTGGACACGAGCTGTGCATTGTGCAGCGTTGCGTTGTGCTCATTGTGCAGTATAGAAAAACCACTCGGGTACGGTGGCATCTTCACAAATCGCAATGTGCGCTGCTTTGACTGCTTAGAAGGACTACGTTTGCACCATGTTATGCAACGAATTTCTTGATAAAGACTGCTCACAGGGCAAATTTTATTTGAAGCAGCAGAGCTCAGTTTCGCTTTCAATTTATTCAGAATGTAAAAAATGCAACATTGGCAAAGCACTAAAAAAAGTGGCAAGCTGAGGAAGTGCTGAGGACCACAGTCTATACTTTTTATAATTGCTTATTTCAATTCATATGTTTAAGAACATCACACTGTTGAGGCACGAAATTACAGTAAATGAAGCAAGAATGCTGGCACTGAAAGTAAAAGAAGAAATACTGAAAAACTGCTTCGGAAAACGGAAAGCTATGAATGACACTATTTCTCACGTTGAAAACTCTGTGCAATGCCAGTAAACGAACGCAGCAAGCTATTGTAAAGAACAGAGCAAAGGGATGTAATAAAAAGAAGACATTGGCTTTTTGGTTGGCATGAAGTAAATAGAAACAGAAGAAAAGCACTTTAAACACTTTTTTTAACAATTGCAAACAAGAAAAGAATTCAAAGCACCTAAATAAACTAGCATGGACCTAAAAAAATTAGTAATCTGTGAATGAAACGGCAAAGATACATTTCTTTCCATTCACCATGAAGTCGTCAGTCCAAATAACGTCTGTGGAGTCAGCCCTTCTTGCACACTCTGATGCGTTCAAAATTGAAGGTAAATCGAACAGCTTTCTGTCACAGTATTGCATGTTCCGATTCATTGCCATCAATAGGCAAAATAAACAGCACCTTGTGGCTCGTACATCTGTGGTCGAAGCTACAACCCAGAATGTCTTGGGCGTCGTCATTCACCTACACCAGCCATATCTTTGCATACAATTCTTATAGCCGTCAGAAAAACGAGAAGCTGTACACCGGTGCTGCTGGATTTCTTGTGCCCCTGCTCCCCCTATGCAGTTAAGCTCTCCTCTGTGCCTCCTGCTCTAAGGTCCCTAGATAAAACTTGTTTTAACTAGAAACCTTACCTCCTGCGCACTCCTTGCACCACCATGCGACCGTTGCGGCTAGATAGCAAGCTCTCCCCGTAGCCTTAAGGCTGAAGGACTCTGGTTCTATTAATGGTATTTGTGCATGCATACATATATTTTTTCATCACTAAATAGATTCATGAATTAAGTTTAATTAGCCCCCTTTTTTATTTTTGATAGTTAGTATCAGTAAAATATTACCTTTATTTTATGCCACCTGAAAGATACCCGTAATCAAGCATTCATTTTTGGTGAAATCTCCTGCTTGTTTTTTTTCTGAGGATGAAGAAAGAACATGAAACGTGCCAGATGTGAAATAGATGCGCCTTCATCCACCGCTGCTCAAGCGCCTCCTAGTGTTTCTTTTTGATCCACAGCTGTTTCGTTACAGCGTAAATGTAGCGCAAAAAAAAAAGACGAGAAAGTTATGCGCTTTGCGCTACATTTACGCTTTATGGATCTGTACCAACTCGCTCGCCTCTCCGTTTCGATACACAGCTGTGTTGGTTCATTGTACAAGGCTTCAAAACAAACTGCTTACAAGTCCATCATGACCACGAAGCCTTGCAGAATGCCGCAATGAGTTTCTTCATCCCTTGTCGCGCTTAGTACTGGCCTTGTGCAACAGAGAGAGAGGCCATATTTCTGTACGCTGGGCACGGTCAGTCTGGGCATCATCAGTCTGATGATGAATATCTCTAATTATGTGCAACTTTCGGATTTATAAGAAATGAGCATGCCACAAATAGGTACATGCAAGTTTATAAAATAAACAGCTGCTCTTGCATTAAAAAGTCAATGCATTTTTGTTTTGCTAATTAGTCATGTCCTATTTAATGAAGTCCTATTTACTTCATCGAAAACAGTATGTTCAAATTGGCGATGTGCAGTAAAAAACAGGTGATATTACAGCCAGTGCACCTCAAGGCAGTATACTTGGGCCTGTTCAATATTTACACTAATGACATTGCAAGCATTGAAAATCAGTCCAGATTCATTAATTAGGCAGATAGCTGCATGATGAGCTATCTGATGATGAGCTACACATGATGAGCTAGCTTTCTGTGGTTGTAATTAATTAGGTAAGCTATAACTTTGGACAAAATTAAATGCATTGTCAATGTAAAAAATAAATCTACAGCTGTAATTTTTAATTCTAGACATAAAAAAATCTGATACTATAGTACATTTGCAATATTGATCCCAACCAGTTGAAATCGTCGGGCCAATAAAATCGCTAGGAGTTTATTTCACTCTGCATGTGAAATAGAATGACCATGTTAACGATATTTTATTGAATGCATAGGGAAAGGCTTGTATACTTTGGCGACATAAACTTGTTTTAGTTAAAACTTGCTATATACCACGCTTTATTTTTTTCACATTTGAAATATACCGAAAATTTGAACTATGACGACTAAACCTAATTCAAGAAAAATATCATTTTTCCATAATAAAATCCTCCATCTAATTTACAACCTTCTTTATAGATACGAATCACTTGTTTAACGAACACAAAATTATCAATGTTTTTTTTAATTTATACATTTACAGGCTTTTACATGGCTTTAGGATTGATCGAAAGAAATATTTATCCACTATCACAGCTTCCATGAAACATTGTCAACCAAAATACCTGCACCATCATCAACCATCCTGGATGCTTCCTCGTACAAGAACTAGCTATGGACAACAAAAATTACTTATCGGCTACTGTTACAACTAAACAACGTAAATTCCTCAGGTATTAACATAGCAGATATCACCCTTTCTCACTTTTGGCAATATCTTATTAACACTCCTGGCATTTAAAACCTTTTCTTCAGACCTGGTGGCTAAAATGAAGGGAAAAAGAATAAACAAAAACAAAAGGATGAAAATGCAACCACCGCTGTGTGTTAATCTTGTGTTTAGTGTACTTGTGGTTTATATATTGATACTTCCAATTTATGCTTATATATGTGTTTATTGCTGTGCATTTTTTTTGTTACCACCACCTGCAGTGTGTTTGAAAACTGTATAATTTTTAATTTTGTTAACGTGTATTTTTGTCAGCTGTTGTGCATTTTGTTGCCATCGAAGCCACTGCCACAAGGGGGTGAGAACGTAGTCAAGCGGATAGTCTCTTTTATTCTCATTCCCTTCATTAAAACAATTATGGATTGTCAATTGCCAATGTAATTTCAGCTAGGGCAAGGTATTTTTACCTTGACAGTATGTGTGTGACTGGAGCCTGACTGTCATAGAATTTTTATAAAAAACGTGTTGTCCGAAAAAGGGTGAAAGCTTCCCCTGCCGACCGTAAAGCTTCACAGTGGTCGCAATACCATCAATCCCACCTTGGTAGCGGTACCTCATCGACACAGGCCTATACACTTTCAATCCATTACATTTGTGACCACTTTCTACTATCGGAATCTCGCGTGTTCTCTGGTGTTGGCAGTTTTGATGCTGACAACGTGCCGAGTTTATAGATTTTCCGGCTCCAGTAACTGGTGGGATCCAATCTTTATTCTCACAAACATTCTTCTTGGTTGCGAGGTACCTGAGGATTTATGCCATCTGTCTAATGTCATCACGGTATGTCATGTTGTCACAGTCTATCATAAACTGGGTTGTGCCACAAAAATGAGGTAAATCCCACAAGTCGCTATCAGCCCAATAAAAACTGGCAACTGCTATCCCAATAAATAGTGAACGAGATTAGTGGAGCACCCTTGATTCTCTAGGGAACTGAAACCAGGTAGCATTTGGGAAAGAAGACGGAACACCATTCCGGCAACATTCGTGTAGCGGACATGCCCGGTTTCACGCTTGGCATCACTGCTTTCTCATCAAAGAAATCCCCATGCTTCTCCCCATGTTTCACATTGGTGAAGCTGAAACACCCTTCCCTACATGCATCACCCATTTCCAGTTTTATTTTTTACCTTAATGGCTCTTAGTGGCCTATGAGTGGCATGGTTATGGACCGACAAGGAAGAAATCGCAAGCAGGGATATCCGTAAGGTGAAGCACTGCGATTTATTTGGCAGTCTGGTCAGTCACCAGATCATTGCAGAAAAGGTTCTTGCCATACATGACCAGACATCTCTCGATTTCCGCGTCACACAGTCTTGACATCTTGGCTCTTTTAGCGGTGCCTACCTGGACATTGAAGTGAACCATGGAACTTCCAATGTCATCAGTGTGCTGTTGTTCCGAAAACGCCAGCATTGCCACAGTCCTTGAGAAGATAGAGGAGTCTTCGTCGAGTAAACCATCTTGAAAGTATCGTGCTAGCATGAAGTTTCAGGGGTTTTACTGTCCTTCACAAATTTGTTCATGGGCATGCTTGGATTTTGAAAGCGTTTTGAAACTTATTTTTGAAGGACTATGGTGCAGAGCAACATCTTATCCACAATAGCAACAATCTAGGCCACTCCATGGCACTGGAGGAGATAGATGTTAGAAGCAGGCTGTACATACCCTGTCGAATAGTGACCTAGTAGACTATGACTTCAGCACTGTTATCCATATGTCCCATCACTCGCACATATCAAAATTTGCATCTTATTTGGAGCTGCTATCACAGAGTAGCAGAATGAATGCCCCATATACATTTATTTGATAAGATGACAGCATGAAACAAGGTCAAACGCTTTCCTAAAGTTGGAGAAAATTGCATCAGCTTGCCCCAAGTTGTCAACATTTGCAAAGTTGCAAACAATGGTACTGGATATATAATTTGGTGACACCAAAAAATGTGTTGCGACAGTCATGCAGGTAGTATTTAGTAGGAGTTTGTTAATCTTTTAGGAATGCATTCGAGAATTTAGGAACACGAACACATTGATATGAGACAATTTGTATCGCCCTTCTCTGGTGCACCTACAACTTTGTTGCTAGAAAGTACTTCATGCAGAGGACTATCTTGAGGAATAATAACCAGAAAGTGCAATGATATTTTTGCTTATCTGCTGATATCGTCCAGGTGATGACTGTGTACTTTGCATAGTGAAATGCAAGCCATGATGACACAGTGGACTCCAAGACCTAACAAAGATGACATTTGCTTTATTCCGAGCTTGCTCAAGCCAGCAACACATTTTTAGTTCAGTACAGATGCATAGAAAACTTTATCTTGATGATACAAAGCAGCTTGTATCATCGATCTAGATGTGCCACTTGGTTCATAGCTTGTAACATTTGACATGACCTCCACTTATAATTTCATTCCATGCTCAGGTAGCCTTGAAGCAGTACTACAGGCTTTTGACAATACAGTTTCTCACAAAACAGTGCACACAGAACTACACTAACCATATTGCTAGAATTATTGCTAAAGAAGTTAGAGATTGAGGAGAACATTTTGTGGAGGTAGATAGAATCCTGGTGGGCACGAAATACAGTTATGCACAAGTACTAATGGGCCAGCTAAAGAATAAAAGAAATGGATCGGAGGTTTATTACCTTCTTAGGCACTATCTAATGAAGCATATAGGACATCATTATGGTTTTTGACTGTACACTGGCGATTGCAACATAAATGAAAAAGAAATTGTCAGTGGCAAGCATACCTACCA